CCTTAAAAATGCTACTCCTTCTACAGTTCTAGTTTGATTTCAAAATAAGTTGGCACACAAGTAGACTACACAAAGATACATAGAATAGTGCATCGGTTTTTAATTTCGATGAACGATGTTGCCATGGTTACTAAAAATAGAATTTTTTGTGAAATTCCTTAAAAATGCTACTTCTTCTACAGTTTTGGTCTGATTTCAATATAACATGGCACACAAGTAGACTACACTAAGATACATAGAATAGTGCATGGGTTTTTGATTTCGATGAACGGTGTTGCCATGGTTACTAAAAATAGAATTTTCTGTGAAATTCTTTAAAAAAGCTACTCCTTCTACAGTTTTGGTCTGATTTCAGTATAACTTGGCACACAAGTAGACTACCCTAAGGTACATAGAATATTGCATCGGTTTCTGATTTCGATGAACGGTGTTACCATGGTTACTAAAAATAGAATTTTCTGTGAAATTCCTTAAAAACCCTACTCCTTCTACAGTTCTAGTTTGATTTCAAAATAAGTTGGCACACAAGTAGACTACACAAAGATACATAGAATAGTGCATCGGTTTTTAATTTCGATGAACGATGTTGCCATGGTTACTAAAAATAGAATTTTCTGTGAAATTTCTTAAAAACGCTACTTCTTCTACAGTTTTGGTCTGATTTCAATATAACTTGGCACACAAGTAGACTACACAAAGATACATAGAATAGTGCATCGGTTTTTGATTTCGATGAACGATGTTGCCATGGTTACTAAAAATAGAATTTTCTGTGAAATTCCTTAAAAACGCTACTTCTTCTACAGTTTTGGTCTGATTTCAATATAACTTGGCACACAAGTAGACTACACTAAGATACATAGAATAGTGCATCGGTTTTTGATTTCGATGAACGGTGTTGCCATGGTTACTTAAAATAGAATTTTCTGTGAAATTCTTTAAAAACGCTACTCCTTCTACAGTTTTGGTCTGATTTCAGTATTATTTGGCACACAAGTAGACTACACTAAGATACATAAAACAGTGCATCAGTTTTTGATTTTGATGAACGGTGATGCCATGGTTACTAAAAATAGAATTTTCTGTGAAATTCCTTAAAAACGCTACTCCTTCTACAGTTCTAGTTTGATTTCAAAATAAGTTGGCACACAAGTAGACTACACAAAGATACATAAAATAGTGCAATGGTTTTTGATAAGTACATACCAGTAGAGCTACAGTCTCGACAGAGACTTCTTTTTTACGGTTCTTTTATCAAATTGGCAATGAGCTACAAACAAACAAAAATATATACACGCATTGCCAATAGAACACACAAACAAAAATAAAAGAATTAATCAGTAAATTCAGCTGAAGCATACCACCAAAATATGGCGATGCCACACCCAGTCACTCATACATGAAATAGTTTACACTGCGTGTGTAGTCTTTACATTGAAATAAGCAAGATACCGGTATTTATTATATTAACGAAACAAGAGGCCCATGGGCCACATCGCTCACCTGAGAAGCTTTGACCATTCTGTTCTTTACCAGATTTCCCCCTTGTAATACATAATGCATCCCCACCCTACCCCCACTGATCATTATTTAGACATTTTGAAATCTACACTACCCCAGGATCCTTCCATTTGCACATAAGTTTCAGCTTTTCTGGCCCAGTGGTTCTTGAGAAGAAGATTTTCAAAGATTTTTCCTATATATTTCTTTGTAAAACTTTGATTCCCCCATTGTGGCCCGCCCTTTCCCCGGGGGTCATGATTTGAACAATGTAGAATGTACACTACCCCAGGATGCTTCTACGTAAGTTTCAGCTTTTCTGGCCCAGTGGTTCTTGAGAAGAAGATTTTCAAAGATTTTTTCCTATATATTTCTATGTATAACTTTGATTCCCCATTGTGGCCTCGCCCTTCCCCAGGGGGTCATGCTTTGAAGAATTTAGAATCTACACTACCCCAGGATGCTTCCACGTAAGTTTCAGCTTTTCTGGCCCAGTAGTTCTTGAGAAGAAGATTTTCAAAGATTTTTCCTATATATTTCTATGTATAACTTTGAGTCCCCATTGTGGCCCCGCCCTTCCCCAGGGGGTCATGCTTTGAAGAATTTAGAATCTACACTACCCCAGGATGCATCCACGTAAGTTTCACCTTTTCTGGCCCAGTGGTTCTTGAGAAGAAAAATTTCTAAGATTTTTCCTATATATTTCTATGTATAACTTTGATTCACCATTGTGGCCCCGCCCGTTCCCCGGCGGTCATGATTTGAACAATTTTGAATCTACACTACCCCAGAATGCTTCCACATAAGTTTCAGCTTTTCTGGTCCAGTGGTTCTTGAGAAGTAGTTTTTCAAAGATTTTTCCTATATATTTCTATGTATAACTTTGATTCCCCATTGTGGCTCCGCCCTTTCCCCGGCGGTCATGATTTGAACAATTTAGAATCTACACTACCCCAGGATGCTTCTACATAAGTTTCAGCTTTTCTGGCCCAGTGGTTCTTGAGAAGAAGATTTTCAAAGATTTTTCCAATATATTTCTATGTATAACTTTGATTCTTCATTGTGGCCCCGCCCTTCCCCCAGGGGTCATGATTTGAACAATTTAGAATCTACACTATCCCAGGATGCTCCACATAAGTTTCAGCTTTTCTGGCCCAGTGGTTCTTGAGAAGAAGATTTTCAAAGATTTTTCCTATATATTTCTATGTATAACTTTGATTCCCCATTGTGGCCTCGCCCTTCCCCAGGGGGTCATGCTTTGAAGAATTTAGAATCTACACTACCCCAGGATGCTTCCACGTAAGTTTCAGCTTTTCTGGCCCAGTGGTTCTTGAGAAGAAAAATTTCTAAGATTTTTCCTATATATTTCTATGTATAACTTTGATTCCCCATTGTGGCCCCCCCCCCCTTTCCCCGGCGTTCATGATTTGAACAATTTAGAATCTACACTACCCCAGGATGCTTCTACATAAGTTTCAGCTTTTCTGGCCCAGTGGTTCTTGAGAAGAAGATTTTCAAAGATTTTTCCAATATATTTCTATGTATAACTTTGATTCTCCATTGTGGCCCCGCCCTTCCCCCAGGGGTCATGATTTGAAGAATTTAGAATCTACACTATCCCAGGATGCTCCACATAAGTTTCAGCTTTTCTGGCCCAGTGGTTCTTGAGAAGATTTTCAAAGATTTTTCCTATATATTTCTATGTACAACTTTGATTCCCCATTGTGGCCTCGCCCTTCCCCAGGGGGTCATGCTTTGAAGAATTTAGAATCTACACTACCCCAGGATGCTTCCACGTAAGTTTCAGCTTTTCTGGCCCAGTGGTTCTTGAGAAGAAGTTTTCCAAAGATTTTTCCTATATATTTCAATGTATAACTTTGATTCCCCATTGTGGCCCCGCCCTTTCCCCGGCGGTCATGATTTGAACAATTTAGAATCTACACTACCCCAGGATGCTTCCACATAAGTTTCAGCTTTTCTGGCCCAGTGGTTCTTGAGAAGAATATTTTCAAAGATTTTTCCTATATATTTCTATGTAAAACTTTGATTCTCCATTGTGGCCCCGCCCTTCCCCCAGGGGTCATGATTTGAAGAATTTAGAATCTACACTACCCCAGGATGCTTCCACATAAGTTTCAGCTTTTCTGGCCCAGTGGTTATTGAGAAGATTTTCAAAGATTTTTCCTATATATTTCTATGTAAAACTTTGATTCCCCATTGTGGCCCCGCCCTTCCCCCAGGGGTCATGATTTGAAGAATTTAGAATCTACACTACCCCAGGATGCTTCCTCATAAGTTTCAGCTTTTCTGGCCCAGTGGTTCTTGAGAAGATTTTCAAAGATTTTTCCTATATAGTTCTATGTAAAACTTTGATTCCCAATTGTGGCCCCGCCCTTTCCCCTGGGGTCATGATTTGAACAATTTAGAATCTACACTACCCCAGGACGCTTCCATATAAGTTTCAGCTTTTCTGGCCCAGTGGTTCTTGAGAAGAAGATTTTTTAATGACCCCACCCTATTTTTGTCTTTTCTTGATTATCTCCCCTTGTGAGGGAACTTGGCCATTTATTTTAACAATTTAAATTCCCCTTCACCCAAGAATGCTTTGTACCAAGTTTGGTCAAATTTGGCCTAGTGGTTCTTGAGAAGAAGTCGAAAATGTGAAAAGTTTACAGACGGACAGACAGACGGACGGACGGACGACGGACAAAATGTGATCAGAAAAGCTCACTTGAGCCTTCGGCTCAGGTGAACTAAAAAGATATAATATTCAGAGTAATAAAAACTAGATTAACACCATTCTTACTGTAACACGCGTCTCAAACACAATCTCGAACACGTACACGTTCCGTTCACAACAGGGGCGTCAGCATAGTGAGTATTGGACTTTTACGAAAAGCACTGACTTTTACGGTTGACGAATTACTCTCACACTAGGACAGTGTACGGAAGCTCTTTTACGATATAATAATTTTCCTCAACTTTCAATTCAACGAAAATAAAGGGCTGTTTCAAAGCACAGTTAAGTTGTCCTTGAAGAAAACGTCAACCATCCTACCCTCAAATCCAGTCCTTCTCATGCAAGTGCCCCTAAAACCATTACCATGACCAATAGAAAGATTTTCTTTTCCATTATCAATTCTGTACCTCCGTAGATGTGAATGTTTAAATGTCCAAGTAAACAGTCAACTGTAAAAGTCAGTGCTTCTCGTAAAAGTCCATAAACACACCTCCTAACCTTATTAGCATAAATCGGAAGAATTCGGAGATAACCGTAATAAATATGAACAAAATCCGTAAACGTCCGAACAGCTTTCCTCGCGAGAACTCAACGAGAGCAACATGCCAGTGGTGAAAATCGAGAGAGAAATTTAACATGAAAAAAGAGGTAAAACTTTATGTTTTCTCGATTTATAAGGTTTGTAAATTGCAAAAAGTTGAAAAACAAACGTTTCTTTACTTGAAAAGTGAAAGTAAGTATACACTTTCTCATTCTGTCAAGTGCTATTGCACTTTAAAGTGTCAAAACAGCACCTCTCGATTTTGTAAACATGTTTCCACAGGGAGTATTTGTGTCGGTCAAGATTAACCCACATACATTGATTTAGTAAACAAAAACACTCGTAAGTGGAATTTTATTTATTTTTTCGATTACCTGTAGCACAAAATGGCTAAATATTTCATGGAATGTGAGTGTGACTAAAATGGGTAGCGAGCCCGGTTTACTCATTTTGACGATTTTAAGCTTAATGCATCGAAAGTCTTTGTGATATTTGCATTTAATGGTTGTTTATTAACTCCAAATGGTTAAATTGTTCAATTATTATTAAATTAAATGTCAATTATTAGGGTTTTTGTCATTTTTCATAGACCCGGGACAGGTCAAAACCGGACGCGTTTGCCCGGGGCAAATTAATAATTCCGGATTGCCAGAGAAAGAATGTAGATTTTTTTCAGTCCCTATCCGAGATACAACTAAGAAATAAATTGGAAAAAATTAATTAAAATATGCAAATCAAAATAGAGTCATTTATATTTCAATTATATGTCATTATCTGATAAGTATTTCGGAAATAAAAGGTTTTTCCCGGGTGAACGTGTCCGGTTTCGACCAATCCCGGGGGTTCAAAAAATGCGTATATTTTCAATAATCGTGATTTATTACTGCAACAGTCAAATGTTTTAGGTAGTATAAGTTCAATTTCAAAGATCCAAATGAAATAATTGTAAATATGCTGCCGAAATTAAGTTTTAATCGCCAAAATGAGGAATCCGGGCTCGCTACCCATTTTAGTCACTTGGAAAAGAACAATCGGTGATAATCATTAAAAAACACAACAATTTGACCTAAAACTTTCAGCGAAGGCCAATTCTAGAATAATAAACTATGTCCGTAAATTTCATGAAGAAAGAATTAGTATTTATTTCGTGATTATCAAAAACCCGGTTTTCGTTATCGAAAATCCCGGCCCGGCCCGGGTTTCGCTACCCATTTTAGTCACACTCATGGAATGTTTGTCAAATGATGTTAATAGCATGTCTTACTTGAAGAGAAAATGCAGGTGTGCTATAGGCCGTTCCTACTTGTAAGGTAGTCCACCATGCATGCATATATGCAGAATTATGCGTATGAAAGTCTTTATTTTTACTTATCAATACCCAGTGATTTGTGAGAACCATATGTGTGTTTTTTTTAAATACCAAGAGACTAAAATTTAAATCTATCCACACTCGTGTGTATGCACAAGAAGTTCTTCCGAATTTCCTCTACACATATACATGAGTACCTGGATAAAGGTTTGTTTACATTTGTTTGCAGTTTTAATAGTGTCAGCTGTTTATATCAAACATGCAGTTTACTTTTCACTAGAGCCCACTGATAAAAAAAATGGTTGTTACTTTTCTAATTTAATATCATAGATATTATGATCAGATGCATGATGTCAATGCATGCAGTTCTCACATATTTGTGTATACATCAGACATGAAACTTCACATATGTAAGTTTATGAAAGTTTTTGAATATTTCTATGTTTTCTACTTTTTTTCCTCTAAAAGTATTGCCCATCTAAAACTAGCTAATGAGATAGTATAAATATTATAAAACTAGAGGTATATACTGTGAGCAATGAGCTCTGCCCGACACTAAATTAAATGATACCCACAGCTTCCCATATGAATATAATGACAGTGTCCATGTTTTGCTATGGGAAACCCCAAAAAATGTGTCGGATCAAAAAGTTAAATAGAAGATGCACCACTGCAATATGTAATAAAGATTCTGTGAAAGTCTCATCAAATATCACTCAGTGGTATGAGCTGAGGAATTAGCGGATAAGAGATTTAAATCCCAAAGCGTAACAGAAGGACAGACATTCCAATTACTTTTAAAATATACCCTCCCGCTTTTCAAGCGGAGGGTATAATAAATTACAGACATGCATCAATGTGTGTCTTATGTCGATGTAAACATAATTTACATTGATGTTTTGCATTTTCGTTTGTAAGAATACATGTTTCTAATTTACATGTAAAGTATTTTTCTTTATTGTTTGTCTTTTGCAGGTTAGAGTACATCAGTTGAACAGTCATCTCCAGGTATGACAAAAATAACACAATTGACCCTATAAGGTCATAAACAAACATTATTGAATTTAGAAAATGTATATAATTTCTTGCACTGCTCACACAGACTTTTTACTGTTCAGCTCATCATAATATCACTAACCCACTAGGCTACTACTAGCCTAGATAAAAAAATTCCCTGACCCCAGTCCAGTGGGCAATCAAGTATTTTTTAGCCTTGCATTGTAAAGTCAGCTATCAAGACATTCCGTCCTTTTTGTTGTTGTTGTTTTTTTTAATGATATGTACCATCCCACACAAATAACACACACAAGAAAGTATTTTTTTCCACTTTTAAAACATGGGCGTTACATGTTCATTAAAAAAGGCAGATTAATTAATAGAAAAGAAAAATCAAATCAGTACAATTATAATGTGCAATGAATGTTTGTTGCAGGATATACTCTGAAGACAGTGATGTGAAAGTTCAAGGTTTGCCTGTTATGAGTATTGTACATGTAATTGTAATGATAAATTTATAACATTTAATATGCAACATTATAACTAGTATTTAATTATTTTCATCCTGATCATGCTGTTTGGAATAAAAAAATTAAGAATGCCCAATTACTCCAATATATACATGTATACATATTAAAGAATAAAAGAATCCTGTGTAAAATTATTTATATATAGTTAGACACACACACACACACACACACACACACACAGAGAGAGAGATGTTGATAAAAAGGGTCAATATAATTGAAAATAATGCATGCTCAGTGATTTTTGTTTTCATTTAATGCTCAAAGATTTAATCACATTCTGTTTTATTTTCAGCAGATCCTTTAATAATAAAGAATGGGTGGAAAAATTCTCACATCATGCTGCATAACAGTACATGTAAGTTCAAAGGCAGAAGAAAATCCATTAAAAGGGACAGTATAAATACAGTTGGTTGTATGTTTCAGCAAACAATTTAATGAACTAAAAATTATGCCAATAGATAAATCAGCATCTTATGCAAACTTAAAATGATCCACATATTTTTCTGATTTGCCTCAAGTGTAATGATGTTTGTCAGTATTTTTCATTCAGTTTTTTTTCACATAAATGCAAATGCATGCATTTTATTTGGATTAATAAAATTTAGAGGATTGTATTAATTTATTAATCATAATTGTAGTTCAGCTGTAACAAAACATTTTATCTGATGAAAGCTTCAACCAGGAGAATAGGAAAGGATGTCAAGGCCAAAGAGAAGGTATGCTGATAATCGGTGATGATATGCTATTGATGTAAATAGACTAAAGCAATAAAATGGAGAGAACAATAGTAATCTGTAGACAAAAAATTAAATCAATTCTTTTCAAGAATAGGAAAGTCATGATAAGTCACTCTGAGATAGTTCAGAGCAGATCATATTCTTTTGAATGAATACATCTTAGTATAGAACTCCAAAATCAAGGGTAATGGATGTGCCATAATCAGAGACAGAATGTAAATGTTGAAAGTCCTTTGTAAATATTGGAAAATCATTTTGTTTATTTCTTGGCTTTAAATTAAGTAGAGCTCCAGATTTAAATAATTTCAGTTTTCATAATTTAAATTCCTATTTTAAGGAGACTTAAGTTAATATCTAGAGTTTCAATCTTTCAGTTAATCTTTAAATATCAAACTAGCTGCAACTTAGAATAGCTGATTATGAATAATCTGCAGAGCTCACAAACTAGATAAGGTCAAAAAGCTACAATTTTCAGAGAGATAGCAATATTTTGGGGTCATAGAAAAGGGCCATAACTCTCATCATGATAGTAAGTGATGGATGATAAATGTGAAAAATGTGTGCTGTTGGAAATCAAGTGAATACAGTGCAGTCTAATTAAGTACAATTAAACAACAGTACACATGTATCTTAAAATCAAAAAACTTTGACTACCCAGGGTATGCTGACGTTCATGACAGTATTACAAATTGGATGAATGATTTGCAAACACTTTGCATTGTATATGTTTTACTTTTGTTAATTTAATTAGCTCATTTTGCACAGATCTCTTTCTCATGCAGATTATTAATGAACAATGATAGATTGAATTAGCAACTGTAAATGGCATATATGAATTTTATATACTCTGTTTAGAGTTGAACTTTGGTATATATCTTGAACACAGAGTGATATCTTGAACACATTGAGATATCAAAGTCATTTTAAAGTCCCTTGAACAACCTGGATCTTTTGGATATCTCAGTTTTTGAGCAGTTCAATAAGTTTTTCAAGATAACAAATGTGGCTTTATTTTATTGATTCAATTAATTTATGATGAATTATAAATACATGTATATCAATCATATACTTTATGCTAATGTATTAATATTTTATATTTTTCAGGCCATATAACAAATAGTTGCTGAATTCATGAAGACTGGGATGATACAGTACTTTTCTACTCTTATGTACCATATCTAAACATCATTTGAGGATCCCTTTCTAAGAAAAGAAGAATTTGCATATTCAAAGACTCTTTAGTTTATTGTTTGTATTTTGTTTAACGTTCTTCTTGAGAATTTTTCACTCATATGGGGATGCCAACATTTGCCGATGGAGAGTTGCAAATTTTGTCCTTTACTTGGCACACATGGCTAATTGAGCAATGAGGGATCTTTTTGGTGCTAGCATCTACTGCAACACAGGACCTCTGTATATGCAGTCTTAACTCTATGTCCGACAGTGGGATTTCGAACCAGCAATTTAATGATCAACTCCTTACTCATGACTCTCGAGCAGATGCTCTTGCCACTGCACCACGCAGGCGACTTCATAGGTTGTAAAATAATAAGATAGGATTTATAACTTAAAACTGGTGTTTTTAATAAATTCAGTCACAGTATAGAAAATGTTTGGAATAAAGGGAGGTAATAGCTAGCTCTCACTGGTATTGATGCTTAGACTATATGAATTACATATTTTAATTACACATGTATTTTATATCAGATCAGTAAAGAAAGAAACACTTAATTATTTTTATTATGAATTTTATTATAAGATTGATTATCTTTAAAAAATGGAACTTAAATCTTTTTGAGTAGGAAGAAAAAAAAATAAACAGAATGTACATGTGCACTTAGTTTTGTTTATTAAAAAATATTCAACATCTGGAGATCTTGTGAAGTACCGTATATCTAAATATTGTTTTATAAATTTTCACTTCATTTTTAAACAGCATAGTCTTTATTATAACATACGCCCTGTAATATACAATTTATTTGTTGTTGAATATTCCATTGTCTGTCTACATGTAGTGCTTAGTAAATTTCTTGTAAATACAAACATGATTGCAAGCAGTTTGTTTACTCTGTCTTTTTTTCAATACGAGTCATGATATATAAATTGTGTGCATATCCGTTTAAATTATTTTTCTTGAATTCATTTAACAAAGAAAAAAAAATAACTGAATATAATTATGTAGATAGATACCTTCTAGAAATATTTACATGTACTAGTAGCTGCAGATATGTAGCTTATGTGAAATCAGGTACAGTTGAAAATCAATTTACCTGTATTTATTGAATAGAAATTTAGTGAACATATTCATATACATATGCAGTATTTCATACTGAAAATAAACTGTGTGTTAATGTTATACTCAGTCAACATAAACATTGACCAGATGTGATGTTAATGAAATAAAACATATATCTCACAATACATTTTCTTTTTTTTCCTCCAATTAATCACAATTTAAATGTATATAAATTGATAAAAGAAACTGACTATACCATTAAAAATCTTGAGTTGTCTTTCCTTGTTTAAATAAAATATCTGATGCAATGAATGTTCCCTTGGGTTTATGACCCTGAATATTAATAAGGTTAGGAGGTGTGATAAATAGACAACCCGACGAACCAGTTTATATCTTAGAGATTTACTCAACAAAGTAATAATTTTATAAATTCAATTCACTGCACTGAAAATTAATAAAACATAGAAAACAACTAGATTAATATTCAAATAGAATTTTTATAAAGTTTTTAATAATATAATCTCTAAATAAAATCAAATACCTTGCGCAAGGACAGAAACTCTATAAATAGACTGTCGGTTATTAAAGTATGGTGCGCGTTTCGCGTTCTTTCAATATGCGCAAAATCAACTGTTACACCTATTGGCATCTGTTTACATCCATCGTCAATTTCAGTCAAACTCAAGTTTTATACGTCAAGCAATCAATCTGCTAGTATGATTTCAACATGCATTGAATTCTTTACAATTAATGTAAAATCCATGGCAACTAGTCAAGTGGTTCTGTTGTGTGTAAACCTCTATGGTAACATGATGAAAATAAATGTTTATAAAATTTTCTTCTCTGGTTTTGAGTATTAGTAAATAATTTAATTTTGTGTTCTAGCCTCTCATTGGATGGTTTCTAAAAAGGAACGCAAATTATTCTGTATAATTTGGTTTTGTATGGGGACACATCCCTTTGACAACCAGCTGAACAATATGTATTCATCAATCCCTTCATTTCCAGTCCTCGGGATTCATGCAAAATTCCAGATTTAATAAATGTACCTTTACCTACACACAGTAGCATGAGATTTTATCTCATGTAAACAAACATCATGGCTGCTAAGTCAATATATCAGTTATTACCTCCCATCATTTCCGTTACTACGGTTGTATTGTTGAGCGGCAAATTTGAACTCATAACAAGAGGCCCATGGGCCACATCGCTCACCTGAGCAATGTGGCTAGGAAAAAGTAGAAATTGGTTTATTATTGAAAAGTTCAAATCCAAAAGTAGTCCCATGACTAATCATGGATTTGCTATTCTTAAGAAGAAGATTTTTAAAGAATTTTCCTATATATTTCTATGTAAAACTTTGGTCGGCCATTTTGGCCCCGCCCTACCTCCAGAGGTCATGATTTGAACAATCTTGAATTAACACAACCTGAGGATGCTTTCATATTTTTAAAAAGTTTTCTTATATATTTCTATGTAAAACTTTGGTCGGCCATTTTGTCCCCGCCCTACCCCCGGGGGTCATGATTTGAACAAACTTGAATCTACACTACTTGAGGATGCTTCCATATAAATATAATAATTATGGCTTTGGCATTCTTGAGAAGAAGATTTTTAAAGAATTTTCCTATATATTTCTATGTAAAACTTTGGTCGGCCATTTTGGCCCCGCCCTACATCCGGGGGTCATGATTTGAACAAACTTGAATCTACACTACCTGGGGGATGCTTCCATATAAATATGATGAATTATGGATTTGTCATTCTTGAGGAGAAGATTTTTAAAGAATTTTCCTATATATTTCTATGTAAAACTTTGGTCGGCCATTTTGGCCCCGCCCTACCCCCGGGGGTCATTATTTGAACAAACTTTAATCTACACTACCCCAGGATGCTTCCACATAAGTTTCGGCTTTCCTGGCACAGTGGTTCTTGAGAAGAAGATTTTTAAAACATGCCTCCAAATTTTCATTAATTCCCAATTATCTCCCCTTGAATGAGGGCGTGGCCCTTCATTTGAACAAACTTGAATCCCCTTAACCCAAAGATGCTTTGTGGCAAGTTTGGTTGAAATTGGCCCAGCGGTTCTTGAGAAGAAGTCGAAAATGTGAAAAGTTTACAGACAGACAGACAGAGGGACAGACAGACAGACGGACGCCGGACAAAATGTGATCAGAAAAGCTCACTTGAGCCTTCGGCTCAGGTGAGCTAAAAAGCAACACAATTTTACATCACAGTTGCTTGACTATTTTAAAATTCATTATAAGGAATGATCCAATTCTTGGCCAAATTATCGAGTTTAACCTGGTTTGGGTCAACATACGCTTTTTAGCTCACCTGAGCCGAAGGCTCAAGTGAGCTTTTCTGATCACATTTTGTCCGGCGTCCGTCTGTCTGTCTGTCTGTCTGTCCGTCTGTCTGTAAACTTTTCACATTTTCGACTTCTTCTCAAGAACCGCTGGGCCAATTTCAACCAAACTTGCCACAAAGTATCCTTGGGTGAAGGGGATTCAAATGAAGGGCCACGCCCTTATTTAAGGGGAGATAATTGGGAATTAATGAAAATTTAGTGGTATATTTAAAAAATCTTCTTCTCAAGAACCACTGTGCCAGGAAAGATGAAACTTATGGGGAAACATCCTCAGGTAGTGTAGATTCAAGTTTGTTCAAATCATGACCCCTGGGGGTAGGGCGGGGCCACAATGGCCGACCAAAGTTTTACATAGAAATATATAGGAAAATTCTTTAAAAATCTTCTTCTCAAGAATGACAAAGCCATAATTCATCATATTTATATGGGAGCATGCTCATGTAGTGTAGATTCAAGTTTGTTCAAATCATGACCCCCCGGGTAAGGGCGGGGCCAAAATGTCCGACCAAAGTTTTACATAGAAATATATAGGAAAATTCTTTAAAAATCTTCTTCTCAAGAATGACAAAGCCATAATTCATCATATCTATATGGAAACATGCTCAGGTAGTGAAGATTCAAGTTTGTTCAAATCATGACCCCCGGGGGTAGGGCGAGGCCAAAATGGCCGACCAAAGTTTTACATAGAACTATATAGGAAAATTCTTTAAAAATCTTCTTCTCAAGAATGACAAAGCCATAATTTATCATATTTATATGGAAGCATGCTCAGGTAGTGTAGATTCAAGTTTGTTCAAATCATGACCCCTGGGGGTAGGGCGGGGCCAAAATGGCCGACCAAGGTTTTACATAGAAATATATAGGAAAATTCTTTAAAAATCTTCTTCTCAAGAATGACAAAGCCATAATTCATCATATTTATATGGAAGCATGCTCAGGTAGTGTAGATTCAAGTTTGTTCAAATCATGACCCCCGGGGGTAGGGCGGGGCCAAAATGGCCGACCAAGGTTTTACATAGAGAAATATAGGAAAATTCTTTAAAAATCTTCTTCTCAAGAATGACAAAGCCATTATTCATCATATTTATATGGAAGCATGTTCAGGTAGTGTAGATTCAATTTTGTTCAAATCATGACCCCAGGGGGTAGGGCGGGGCCAAAATGGCCGACCAAAGTTTTACATAGAAATATATAGAAAAATTCTTTAAAAATCTTCTTCTTAATCATTTTCTAAAAAATAGCAAATCCATGATTGGTCATGGGACTACTTTTGGATTTAAACTTTACAATAAAAAGCCATTTTATACTAGTCCTACCCTTGGTGCTCAGGTGAGCGATGTGGTCCATGGGCCTCTTGTTTATAATCTCCGAAGCGTAAACTGACCCAGGTTATACTCGATAATTTTGCCAAAATTAGAGTCATTAATTAAATAATGGAATTTTGGTCATTTAGAGAGGCTAGGGGGTGGCAGCCATTTTCAAATTATTTCAATCTCCTTTAAAAGAAGAGCTCCATATAAAGATATACAAAAATGATCAAATTTTAAAACTAAAATGTATGAATTTTGTCTTTGCCAAATGATAGTTGACAGCTTAAGATACCGTATCTTAAACCAGAAGTCTCTGTCGAGACTGTAGCTCTATTGGTTTGTACTTATCAAAAGCCATTGCACTATTTTATGTATCTTTGTGTAGTCTACTTGTGTGCCAACTTATTTTGAAATCAAACTAAAACTGTAGAAGGAGTAGCGTTTAAAAGGAATTTCACATAACATTCTATTTTTAGTAACCATGGCAACACCGTTCATCGAAATCAAAAACCGATGCAATATTCTATGTATCTTAGTGTAGCCAAGTTATATTGAAATCGGACCAAAACTGTAGAAGGAGTAGCGTTTTAAAGGAATTTCACAGAAAATTATATTTTTAGTAACCATGGCAACACCGTTCATTGAAATCAAAAACCGATGCAATATTCTATGTATCTTAGTGTAGTCTACTTTTGTGCCAAGTTATATTGAAATCAGACCAAAATTGTAGAAGGAGTAGCGTTTTAAAGGAATTTCACAGAAAATTATATTTTTAGTAACCATGGTAACACCGTTCATTGAAATCAAAAACCGATGCAATATTCTATGTATCTTAGTGTAGTCTACTTTTGTGCCAAGTTATATTGAAATCAGACCAAAATTGTAGAAGGAGTAGCGTTTCAAAGGAATTTCACAGAAAATTCTATTTTTAGTAACCATGGCAACACCGTTCATCGAAATCAAAAAGCGATGCACTATTCTATGTATCTTAGTGTAGTCTACTTGTGTGCCAAGTTATATTGAAATCAGACCAAAATTGTAGAAGGAGTAGCGTTTCAAAGGAATTTCACAGAAAATTCTATTTTTAGTAACCATGGCAACACCGTTCATCGAAATCAAAAACCGATGCACTATTCT